TGGAGGAGGCTTGCGAGGGCAATAAGGTGAGCTCGGGCGCCTTTGGGTCGCGGTGGCTTAGCCTCCTTCGGGAAGAGCGGAGGCGGCCCCCGCCCGCGGGGGCATCCCTGCCCAAGTCCCGCCTTTGCGCTCCTGGGGCGGGGGGGCGAGGACTGGGGAGGGCCCTGGGTCACCCCTCCAAGGGAACTTCCAAAGAGCAACGAAACCTTGGGTGTCATTTCCCCCCCAGGAACTCGGCAGCGATTTTGTGGAGATCCTGAGGAAGGCGGAACAAGAAATCTTGACATGTCGGTCGGCCAGAGAGAAGGAAAGCAAGGACTTGCTGGTAAATTATTATCCCTGCCAAGGGGAGGAAGAAAGACCTTGAAGCCACTTTGTCAGCAGCAACCAGGGAAAACAACAACCAAGAAAACCAGCCCAGCGGTGTCCTGGCTCCCGTGAATATTTATGACAGGAATGTGTACCTTGGGGGAGGAGTGTGGGGCAGCCCGGCTCAGTCCTTCATCGCAGTTTCCACGGCACCGCTGCAAGTTGTGATTTTAATGTGTTAGAACGGAAAAAATATTTACTCTATGGGGAGTACTCTGGGCCATCGACAGGGGATCACAAGCCTGGCAATGAATGAATGAATCAATCAATCAATCAAATTTATATAGCCGCCCATCTCACATAAAAGTGACTCTGGGCAGTGTACAACACTTAATTAAAAACAATTGATTCATAAAAAGAGGCCCAATTAAAAAAATAACTCTAAAAAGCACACAAAAGAAGAAAGGATGAGCATTTCTGGGGAGGCTGGACCACCCAGAGGCAAAATGGTGGTTGCGGTCAAAGCCCCCCCTCCTTTGTCCGTGCACACACCTTGCCTTGTTTTGACCCCCGCCCTGATCTTTTGTTCCTCTGCTGTTTGGGCAGTTTCCTTTCTACTCAGATGGAAAGAGCTTGTTTTCAACTAGGTGCTGTTGGACTGCATCAGCTACCACCCGAGTTAGCAATCTGAAAGTTGTTGGCAAGCAGGCAATTGGCCTGTAGTTGCCCAGTGCTGCCCCTTTTGCTGGATCTTTCATTATCAGGAAGGTTTTGCGTTAGCCAATCTTCAGTTTCACCTCCTTCCAGT